ATGATTTCATACTGTTATCCCAATTTCTGATAAACTTAATGGCAAAGCTTCTGTAAACGTATATCGTTACCAAAGCTTGCTTATAATTCTAGTCTGGCCTTTGCGTCCTTCTCCTAGGCATCAATCGTCCACAACGAACGGCACCTGCAATTGAAATATATTTTATACTTGAGGGACATCCAGTGAATTGAGTTGAGACGCAACTCTTACAACGACGTTGAAAATGCGAGGGCCGGTTTCATGGTCCAGCTTCCTTTGATATACGGCCTATCTGCTCATATGGCAAGTTTGAAACACATTTGGAAATAGAATTCGGACCCATAGCAGGTTCAATAGATTCGAAAGTAGTTCGACTTGTTGAGAAGATCACGTTCAGTCACAATGGGAGGACGTGGCTTCAACGAGTTGGACAGCAGGTACCCTAACGAGCAACTCTCTGAAAACCAGTATGTCAACACATTTGTCGATTTTAGGTTGGCAGGCGACGACAACGACTACCGAAACACACAGAAGAAAGTCAAGTGCTTCGACTCTAGGTGTATTGATGCAACATTGCAAGCACCCATTGCGGAATGACTACGAAGTTTGCTCGCGGTCTACCTCTAACGTTGCGTTAAGGCAGCCTAGTAAGTGACTCGTTATCACAGGTCCTTCGTTTTGACAAGAAGAAGTAAATTGCTGGATCTTTTCCAATAATACATGGTGTAAACTATAGCCACCTTGAAACACTGCACCGTAGTCTTACAACATAGCCTTGGGGAAGTTCCTCATGGCCTGTCTCACACCGAGATCTGCCAACACTTCCTCGGCACCACCGAGAATGGCATCGAACTTGTACGTTCGGTGGAACATCTCGATGAACTTGCCCATACCAGTTTGGGTAATACCACGGCCACCCCAGATCTGGACGGACTCGTCGGCAACTTCGTGGGCAGCACGAGTGGCGCTCATCTTGAGCAGACCAATGGGGCCGGCAAGGTGTTGTGCTTGTTGTGAGTAGGGCATGTGGCACATTTGGTAGGTGACGGTCTCGAGCCATGACTGGTTGGCTTCGATGAGCGCAATCATCTTTGCGAGCCTAGATGGCGTTAGTATTGGGGGAAATATGCAGTGTTTAGGAGAACTTACTTCTGGCGAATGACGGGCTGGTCAATCAGTGACTTGCCGAACACTTGGCGTTGGTTACTCCACTTGAGACACTCCTCAATGATGGATCGTGACAGACGCAGGCTTCCGCCTATTGTAGAGGTTAGTTCTGATCTGAATGGTTATACCGTAGCTGGGAGGTGGTAGCACTTACAAACCATGTACCATCGCTCGTGGTTGAAGTTGCTCAGAATGACCTGGATACCCTTGTTCTCCTTGCCCAACAAGTTCTCGGCTGGGACCTTGACGTTATCGAATGTGACGAAAGCGGTACCAGCAGTTGTGGAGTAAGAGGTCTTGATCTGCTTGGTCTCAACACCCTCACCACGCTCGATGAGGAAGACACTCAAGCCCTTGTCGGTTCGGGCACCTGTAACGAAGTAATCGCACCATACACCGTTGGTGATCCACTTCTTGGTACCGTTGATGATCTAATTTGTGTGAGCGCTTGATCTTTGATCTTCAAGTAGCAATTGACTTACGTAATGCTTGCCATCGGGTGTCTTCTCAGCAGTTGTGCGCAATCCAGCGACATCTGAACCGGCGAAGGCCTCGGTGATGGCGAGACAGATCTTCTTCTTGCCGCTGAAGACCTCGTTGGCAATCTTGTTCTTCCATGCCTCGTCGCGGGCGAAGTTGAGGACCGCTGTCAATCCAATAGTCATACCTGCCATGTTTCCATCGGCGAAACCTCGAGCCATAGCTCGCGCAAGCTCTTGTGCCACGATCAAGTCATGGAAGTAGTCGAACTCCTCACCCTTGACGGCGCCCCCCATGAGATCAACACCGTGGAGATGCTTTCCGGGTCCAATACGCATGTGCAAGATGCCCAGCTCGCTCATGCGATCAATCATCTTCTGGCTAATGTATCGTCCAGTCGCCTCACACTCTTGCGCCTCCGCATAAAGCTCACTATCGACGAACTCTCGGAGCTTGCGCTGCAATCGCCTGTGGCTGTCCTTGTAGTAGGGCGAACGGAAGGGCTCTGCAAGCCATAGGGGCTCGGCGTAGGGGACCTTGCTGAGGTCACCAGGCTGTGGGGTAATAACTTGAGGCTTCTCGCCCTCGATGGTGCCAACGGCGAGGTCCTTGTACTTTGTGAGAACCTCATGTCGGTGGAGATTGTAGAAAGCGGTGGTGGCATCTTGACCGGCGACTTGTTTTAGGACAGTCTCACCACCGGGATGAGCGTCGACAAAGTCTGTGAGATCGTAGACAGTGCTGTCGATAATGCACCAGAGGGACTCGTCGGTTGTATGGGAGCGGACCTCCTCGCGGGAGAATGTATCTGTAGGAGAGCTCATGACTGTGATTTTGGGGTATTAGAGAGAGACGAGGTATCGCAAGAGTATAGAAGAACAAGTGAGAAACAGATTGAAGTTGGATGAATGGAATTTGGCTTGTTTTAGCTGTTCCCAAGCCCCCCCAGAGACAGTCTCACACACTAAAACTACCCCAGACGACGATGAATGACCTTGAACCTCGGTACCGACTAAGTGGGCCTCTTGTGATGAAATACAAAGTCTCCCATTGGCTTCAGCGGCTTCACTTCCATTTTGTGGGGGCGGGGCCGACGCATTTGCACATGATGGAATTACCTGAATCTTGACCAAGAAAGAAAAAAGCTGATACATGGATAGAGGGTCAATGGAGTTGAGTCTTTCCTCGGTAATAAACCTCGATAATGATCTCCTTAAGCGAGGTCTCTACCCGCGGCTTCTTAAAAGGCCATCACCGTCCTTCTCTCGAATGGCCTGATTTTATGGGGTTGAGCTTCATTGGGCTTCATCAAACAAGGAGCCTGGGAGCTGTCGTCAACTAACACTCCCCAGGATCTGCTTGATCATTAGATGATCCCCTGCAAGAAATCATGAAAAGACGATACGTGTTCCGCCCATCTGCTTTCATTCCTGATTGGCTACAAGGCAACATAGGTAAAGCCCTTTAGAGACTGAAGTTGCAGTAAAGGATGGCTATCGAATAAGACGACATCCAGCATCTGATATAGCGCGACGTCAGAAGACTCACTCATGAGGAGCTTCTAGTAGTACTTACGCTGTTACTCAGATGAGTGACACTGAGAACAACATGTTAATAATCGATCTAAGAATTGTACCGTTATTTACGGTCTGTCTGAGGTGCTGAGTTTGCTCATTGCAAGCCGCCCATCTCCATCCTTCAAAACTGGTTGTCGCTATAGGATCTTGTCACTCCTTCTCATTACTTAAGCAAACCAGACTATCATTGAGAATCATATTATATGTGTTCCTGTCACTCTGTTGTAAGCTCTGTGGCTCTTAGCTCAACCTGTGCCAGAGGCTATTGGTTTTTGGGCATGGTGGCCTGTCAGTCTCGTGGGCTTGCGGATAAATCCTTGGACGGCTTGCTTTCTAGAATGCATCCATCTTGCGATAGTGTCAACGCTTCATATATAGATCCCCAAATACGAAGCAGGCAATCAAGTTTCTTTACATTTGCGGCGAATTGCGTTAGTCATGGCCCCACGCCGCTAGGTAGAAGCCGATAAAGATAAAACTTGAGGATTGCCTCAGAATCTTTTCCTCTGAGCCTGAATGTATTCTTTTTTATGTTTCATACCTAGGCTCTTTGAAGAGTAATGCGATATTCCCTCTTTCATCCTGCTCTATATCACTCGTACCCTCGATTCTTACTAAAGTACGTATCAGTCAAGCCAGTCTTAAGATCTCACCCCTCGTTTTCTCTTATCACTTTGCCTCGCTCTTACATGACCCTGCTTGCGCTCACCTCAAACCCTCTGAACCGTTTTTTGCAACCGCCATTTCTCTGAACTAGTCTGGCTTGGCAAACGGGAGGATCCACGGTCTGAATCTGGATCTGCACAGGCCTTTTGAGGGGCATCTTGGTTCTATATCAAACCACGGTCTTGTCCTATCCCCATGTTCCCATGAGCAGCAGTTCAAAGCCGCCATTGGCTTGCTTATTTGCGGGCTTTTCTTTGTGTATCTTCCATTCTCAGCTTATTACTCTTTTTCGAACCCCGGACCTGCATCCGTGACAGCCATGTCCATGTCCGCCTCACTTTGTTTGGTCTTTTACATACTGCCGAGCCTCCTTATCAAAGAGGTTGCTCCAATGGCGATGTGAATAATTCGAGTTTAAAGCTCATACTAAAGCAACGAGGCGCACATGGCGGCGTCTGCCCCTGCGCCCGCTTCTCATCGGTTCCGCCAGTTGACACCGGGGTTTTGTCCTTGTTGATGTTTCGCGATTGGCTCTCCTACGTTATCTGAAGTTCGCAAACCGCTCAGGTTGCCGCAACTATCTCCAACTAGGTCATTGGCTAGAAATTGCCCTGATCTAAACGTCGTAGGAGCTAACACCCGAGACACCACACAGTCATTCCCTCCCTCCATTGTGCGGTGGACATATTTCCCTCGTGATCGTCATCGTCATGGTATCTAGCCTGTTACGAGTTGTCATCTATTCTCAGGGAACTTTGGTGGCCAAGAGCCATTCTTGCCAGACATGACTTTGGCACCTGGTGACCTCCTTGTCAACCGTTGAGGCTTTAACCCTCCGTTTTGGGCTACACCTGTATTCCCCGCCCTATCATACCCTTATATCTCCCTATCTCGATCCTCTTTTCCTACTGGAAGTCCAGTTATCCTTCTTTTACCATTGCTCTACACCCATTCCCAAAAGCATATCTTTCGACCATACATCTTGAATATCTCAGCATGGATGCTTACTCGATATGTTGCACTAGTCCTGCCGCTAGGCACACATCTAAGATCTACCAGGATCTCTGGTCTACTCGTCCACATACTCGTGTTGGGTATGATCAAGATAAGCTCTTGACGAAATTTGTCACCATGGATAGTTTGAAACAGGTATGTACAGAATTTGCACCAAACTGGCCGTTGTTGAATGTCTCATATTGGACGCCACTTATGGCTATTCAATGGTGACAGTTTCATTCTCAGCCTCTTACACACTTTGAAGCCAATGCTGATTAACAAGCCTACAGCGTTGGAGTGGTGATCAGACCTCAAAACCACATATTGGTATAGTCGGTGCTGGTCTCGCTGGCCTTCGATGTGCAGATATTCTCATTCAGAATGGCTTCAAAGTCACTATTATTGAGGCTAGGAATCGAGTTGGTGGCCGCTTGCATCAAGAGGTCCTTCCAAATGGTCACTTGGCTGATGTCGGTCCCAATTGGATCCATGGAACCAACGATAACCCAATGCTAGATCTGGCCAAGCAAACGAATACTGCAATCAGCGACTGGGATTCAACGTCTTGTGTCTTTGACGAATCTGGCGAGCTCTTGTCCCTTAAGGATGGTGAAAAATACTCCACTATCATGTGGGATATTATCCAGGACGCCTTCAAGCACTCCAACAGCAACTCGTCTGATATCGATTCGAAGGAAAGTCTTCACGACTTCTTTGTCCAGAAGGTCACGGAGAGGGTACCTGGTACGGAAGCCGACCATGAAAGGAGACGAAGCATTGTCATGCAAATATCTGAGATGTGGGGCGCTTTTATCGGCAGTCCTGTCTATAGACAAAGTTTGAAGTTCTTTTGGTTAGAAGAGTGTATAGAAGGAGGTATGTTGAAACCGAACTTCATGAAAACAATCATCTAACTCAAACCAGAGAATCTGTTTTGTGCCGGCACGTACAAGAAGGTTCTTGATGAAGTTGCGAAGCCTGCTCTCTGGGGAGCCGAGATCAAGTTCCAGACCAAGGTAGACAGAATATCATATCGATCAAATCCTGAGGAAAAGGCCAAGGTCACAACAGAGGGCGGCCACACACTCGAGTTTGACGAGATTGTTGTCACCGCACCCCTTGGCTGGCTAAAACGAAACCTCGACGCTTTTGAGCCTGCGCTACCTGCTCGGATTACCAAGGCAATTAATGCCATCGGTTATGGATGCCTTGAAAAGGTCTACATCAACTTTCCCAAGCCTTACTGGCTCGGTAAAGAAGGTGACGACCGAAAAGCAGAGGGCTTTGTGCAATGGCTCTCCCCAAATTACGTTCCTGATCTGAACCCAAGACGATGGAATCAAGAGGTCGTGGAACTTGCCAGTCTGGACCCAGAGGTTTCACATCCAACTCTTCTCTTCTACACATACGGCGAGCAGTCGCAGTATATTACGAGCGAGCTATTGAAGATATCGGATCCCCAGAAGAAGGACGAGTTCCTCCTCAACTTCTTCAAGCCGTATTACTCACGGCTTCCGCATTACTCGGAGAGTAACCCTGATTGTAAGCCGTCTGGCTTTATGGCTACGGATTGGCTTCACGATGAGCTTTCAGGATTTGGAAGCTATAGTAATTTCCAGGTTGGTTTGGAAGAGGGTGATGCTGATATCCGGACAATGCGAGAGGGTTTGCCGGATCATGGATTGTGGCTGGCAGGCGAGCACACTGCGCCGTTTGTTGGTCTAGGCACGGCGACTGGAGCCTACTGGAGCGGTGAGGCTGTTGGTAAGAGAATAGCGGAGGCTTATTACGGACGATCCAAGTAGGTAAGGGGCCTTTGAAGATTTGATGGATTCTTCAGTGAGAAGAGGACACCATCAATCGTTTGTGGTTAGGGTAGCAATAGACAAGATGCCTAAAGCGGCCGTCAGAGAAATCTTGGCAAGGATATGCGCGTGATAAGCAGTGAATATGTCGTTGTCTCAGGCTATCAAAGGGACTGCATAGAGATCGACGATGCATTTGTTTGAGGTGAAGTTGCAGTGGCCTTGACTCACCCGGTTTACCCAAAACAGCAAAGGCAATCTTTCGCAACAAATCGTGTCAGAGCAAACCACGTCACAGTTGATCAAGACATTGATTGATTGTAGCATCCATGACGCGGGCAGCACACAATGTGATTGATGGTGAGCCGACCTTATCGATTAAGTTCCCCAAATTACAGTAGATTAGGGGTTGCGCGAGTCGTATCACCCACTAAAAGCGCAATTCACGGGTCAAGTGACGCCCCAACGAGATGTCCTCGGGGGATACATCATGGACCAGCTGCTTTGGTGCACCGCTCGAAACGATCCTTGAAATCGAGTCACGAGCCTCATGTGTTAGTGTTTTAGCGCCTCGAGGGGCGATAGACAGGGTCCTTTCTAGGCCTTCTACCACCTGTAGCTCGTGTGGATTTGGCAGTAGAGGGTCCCCTGGAGGTCTATCTCCCCCACTCGCCCGCCCGTTGCCGTCTCAGCCATGGACCATGCCCATGCCAGTCGTGACTGTGTGACGCTGTCTGTGACGGTGACCCGACTCTTTGGGAAGTGTGCCTCGACTGACCTTACCTTACCTTACTTTTGTTACTGTTCTTTTCTTTAACTCAACTTAAGTTTGTATCAACCAAACCTTTTCAGCCTCGTTGCTGCCTTACCTTTAACTTAGCCACGATTCACATACAAACCTAATCAGTTTATCCGATCTCACGGCGAATTTCCTTCTCCTCTTACAGCTTCTTCTCATGGCCTTGTCCCATTTCCTCTGAACATGTTCTACGGCCCCGCATCTGGCCGGGGTCCTCAAGCTACCGACTGATAGACGCAGACGTAGGCCTCTGCCTAGTAGACAGCAGCGATACTCTGTCGATAACTTACACCATTTCGATTGTCGATATTCATCTGTCTGTCGTCTTCTATCATCCTTCCCTCTCGGGCTGCGTGGGCAGTCATCGCCACTCCGCCCATCGACTCGATCGCATCCCACGAACGACGACACCATGGCGACCCTCTTCCAGTCTTTCCGGAGCTCCTCTATGCCAAAGAGGTTGCTACGATATGCCCTTTCTCGACTGGAACTTCTCGATGCCGAGGCCCTCGATATTGATAATTTAGATTTGGCGATAGGAAGGAATACTGTCCTCGAATTTCGCGATGTTGGGATCAAGCTCAAGGTAGGTTTAATGACTGTGCATCAATCAACAACTTAGAAGATCTTGGTCACTGATGCTTCACCATAGAAACTCAATAAGCTGTTGCAGCTTCCTGACACATTCAGGTTGCAAAAAGCCAAGGTTTTGCTTCTGCGAGTCACAATCCCGATGGACTTTTACACAAGCCCTATAATAGTCGAGGTCGACGGTGTCGATATTGCGCTGCAAGTCATAGGAGCGGAATCCAAACCGGCTCGTTCATCAGGCACAAGAACACCCGAAGAGACCACCGCTGTACCGAACACTGTGGACCTTGCACAATCATTCCTCGAAACACAGCCACGATCAGAGCGAAGGAAACTTGAGGATGCTTTGGCCGCCGAAACTCAGGATCTTGGCGCTTCCATCGCCATGAGCGATGATGGCAGTGAAGACGATCTGGCATACGGAACTGGCCAAGCCCTTTCTCTCCCAGCGTTTTTGGCCGACTTTTTGCAGGGCATCGTCGACCGAACGCAGGTGAGGATAAAGGGTGTTAACTTTCAGCTTGACGTTGAAGTGCCTGTTGAACCGAACACCACTACGACCGAGTTAGTGTCATTCCAAGTCGCACTCGAGGGTATCGATGTCGAAGGTGTTACCACTACCTCTGATAACGCTGAAGGGTCTCCCACTATTGTACCAAAGGAGGGCAAGCGTCATGTTTCATTGTCAAACGTACGGGCGTACCTCATTTCAGAAGCAAACGTCTTTTCTGCATTGGCGCGATCGCCTTCAGTCACTTCGCCATCACTTGCTTCTTCTCCAGCTATGACCAGAAATCCACCGTCCCGCCAGACTACCACACTTTCATTGAGCAGCCTTCACGAAGAATCCGTGAGATCATCGCAGGGAAGCATACGATCAGAGGCGCAAGAATCTTCACCACGGCCAGCTTTTCCACAAGCAGAACCCTTGGTTCTTTCACAACACAGCATCGATCACCGACTTGCGGACTCACACCAGAGTCTTAAGTCCGATAATTCTCTGAGTAGCTCACAGCAGAGCCTTAGAGACGAATACTCAATCGATCAAGAGTCTCCAGAGCACGAATATCCTCTCGGCGACAGTGAGGACGCACTTGGAATACCATACGAATTCTCAAGCCCTCAGGATGATGATGATGGAGAAGATAGCCCTGTGACCCCACGGGCATCGATGTATCACGATTTCAGTAATAGTCCCAATGACGAACCTGTATTTCACTCAACTCTTCTTCCTGGAGAACACGGCTCTCATTCAACTGCGCTGGAGAATGAGAGACCTCAGTGGACTGTCGCAGAACGGGAAGCCAGGTCCGCACCTACACTCGAGACGCCAGCGACAGAAGGTAATTTGGAAGCTTCAAGGAGGGGCGTTTCGAATGAGCACCTCAGTCGGACTTCTTCAAGTGAGAGCTTTGGTGCGAGATCGGCTGAAGACTTGGCACAGTCTCATATGTACACACACGAAGAAGCAGAGAGCATGTACATGAGCGCTTTCTCACAGACTAACGCTCAATCGGCGGCCTTTTTGCCACCGGTTCCTTCTCATGACCATACGCCTTCGCCGAGACCCCAAGATGACTTGACGGAAGAGGTAGAACAACTCTCTGAGCCAGCTAAACCAGTTGAACCAGTCGAGGCGGCAGTTACCCTACCTACAACGGCGCATACGCCTGTGGCAGACGAAAAAACTGAGTCGGACACCATAGATGCAAAGCCCGACATGCCAGAAACGATTCCTCCTCCAATATCAGATGTCAAGCCTCCAAGCCCAGAGTTAGAAGAGACTCCAGCCCCTGTACCATTGGAACAAGAGTCAAAGCCTTTCATTCCCGGTGCTTGGGAAGATGACGACGACGATGATGACCCTTCAGCAAGTGTCATAGCACCATCCACTACCTTGAGACACTCGATGTATCGGAAAGATGATCCCTCAAAAACACGGGATGCCTCAGATAGCGAATCTTCAGAGCCTGCATTTTCAAGGGCATGCCTCACTGATGCTGATCCAGAAAGTCCCAGTACTCCTACCAGACAACAGGAAGGTGCTGCAACTCCCAAGGGACCAACGCGTCTGGTTAAGGAGATTCTAAATCTGAAAACCATCTCGATATATATCCCATCACAGCACCAGCATCTGCATGTTCAGCCTGCATCGCCGGAATCTGTAGCTCAGCTCTCGCAGTCAATGGGACGGTCTACATACCCTCAAGCTCCAGGTGCCTTTTCAATGCATGGCGGGGCTTCCATGCAACAGAACAAGCCAGCACCAGGAGCTTCGAAAATTGACGAAACACTCGAAGTGAACCTGTCACCCATGAATCTTACATTCGACGCCTCATTGGGTTTCTTGCTAGCGATGGTTGTTGGGAAGCTGCTGGATGCTATAAAAGACAAGAACGCGCCCGTATCCGAGAGCACGAAGCAGGAGACAAGTTCAAAGAAGGTGCCCAACCTCCAAATAATATTGGAGGAGATCAATCTTGACTTCATCAATCGCTTGGGAGGGATCTCGGATACGCCTGAGCGTTACATGGACCTGGATCCATCGCCATTTTTCGACCAGGAAGTTCTGCTCAACACAACCTTGCAAAACTTGGTTATATCCATCTCCGAGACCGAGATATCAACACCTCCAGTCATTAAGGGTAAATTGGCTACGCAGCCAGCTATTCTGACCAAGATTGACTTGCAGAAGTTCCGCTTCGGGTATGCAAATGGCGACATCATCTCCTTCGACAAGGGCAAGCCCATGAGTGCATCAGTTAGGGAAACATTTCTATCGGCAGGTTCCGATATTGGAATCGAAATCCTTCAATCAGGTGGCAAAACCAAGATAGACGTCCAGACTCTACCGCTCGTTTTCCAACTTGATCTGCGACGGCTTGACGAGACTTTCAGCTGGTTCGGTGGCCTTAGTAGCTTCCTTAATATGAGTGCTTCGATAGCTTCGAGTCCTGCACCAACCCCCAGACCAGCTGCTCCTGCACCAAAGCCTAGAGGGGTTCGATTCGACACTCCAGTTGATCCGAATGACAAATCCATGGCATCGCAGAATAAGATTAACGTGCGCATTGGAGGCTCTTATGTGGAGCTTATCGGAAAAGACTGCAGCATGCTGGTAGAAACCAGTTCCATTAAGGCTGTGAGCCGTGACGAGGTTATAGGATTGGGTTGCGGCATGATCAGAATAACAGGGCCATACTTGAAGAACTCGACGGCAGATCCTCCTATCAATACGGAGATCACCACAGTCCGAGTCGAGTTCTTGACAACTCCCAACGATTCAGATCTCGAGAAACTCCTTGAGTTAATCATCCCTTCAAAGCATCAATTCGATGGCGATAACGACGAGATCATGGTTGATACTTTGCTACGTCAGCGGAGGAAGGGATCCGTATTGAGACTGTCAGTCGATGGCGTGAATGTTCGCGTTCAAAATATGTCCCAGCTCTCAGTTCTACCGAACCTTGGTGAGGAAGTTGCAAAGCTTTCTACCGTCGCGAAATACTTGCCTGAAGATGACCGACCAGGCCTATTGACCTTGGCAAAAGTCCAAAAGGTTGCGCTGAGTCTAGACTTTGGTGGCAAGCTTGGCCACCTCGGTGCGGAC